GGGGGGGGGGAAGCCCTTGAAGGGTTTGATGCAAAGATGAGGCGCTCAGACCTAACCCACAGAGCAACAGGCCATTTTTGGCACTTGTAGTCTCCTTTCATAAATGTTATTTAAATGTTTCACGTGCAGTAGCATAGTCCATCCCATTACATCTTTGAAGAATAAACAATATTACAATTGTGTAAATTTCATTGTGTCTCAGGAAAACATGACTAAGAAACAGAAACACTGGAATTATATTTATTGTGATAGGGGTTTTTAAGAAACATTTAGGACAAAGATTTTATCAAAATCATAAAACTAGCAACATGTAATATCCAATGGCATTAGCCTCTGGAAGTAAAGTGAAACTCAGTGACAACCTGGGGCACGTCTGAGAATTATTAGAAAGATTAAACCGGAGAGGTCGCAGCGGGGAGGGAAAAGCGTCGGGGTGCAGCCGGCCCCGCTATTTCCCGTCCTACCTGCATGTGATCGGAGCCCTCTGACACCCTCTGCAATCCCCAGTGCAGATCTGAGGACGGGGCAATTGTATGGGGCATTGTCTCACATCTAAAGGCAGGACCCCTCCCTTGTGGTCGGCTTTACAGCCACACACTGACGTGTCAAACACATGACAGGCTCAGGCATCCCCAGCTGCTTTTTTTGATCTGTCCTTAAGGGGGAAAAAGAGTTAACGGAACTGGATTGAATTAGTTGGCGAAAAATAAAAGGTCTCTATTTACCGAAGTGTGGCCCCAATTTGTGATCTCTCTCCCTTTGGACTGCTGTCCTCATGTCGCACAAGATACTGAATAATACAGTCCGACTGCTCAACTGAGCTGTTGACAGGCTAAGGAACACGATGTTTTTAATCAGATAGAAAATGAACTTAGACATGCCCACACTGACAGAAGTTTATACAAATTTAAGCTTCAGAATTAAAACACATTATTTTAGAATCATAACTGAAGGAGTTTGGGGGTGCCAGGGGATTTTAAAGTACCTATTCAGCTGATACAAATATTTTAAATTCATATTTTAAAAAGATGTTTAAGCTAATAAAATGCTTTACCTTACCATTCTAAAGTTTTTAAGTAAAAGCTTATTTTTTACTCTGTGATATTGCCAAATTTAAATCATTTTTCAAAGTAAACTCTAATTTTAAATTTTGAAATTAATAGTACTCAAATATATTTTAAGGAATCATTAGTATCTCTCCTATAACATCACTCACTGATTTATTTTTTAGGATAAATATTGAGTAAAAAAATAAGTAAACTGGTGAGAGCTTGAAGCTGTCCTTTGCTTTCACTATAGTCTTCCACACCTAGGTCAGAGAAGCAAACCAGTCTCACAAAGCGGTAAAGCTGGCTGCCAGCAATCACGAGCGCATTTGGCAACAGGCGGAGGTTTTCTTTGTCCTTCATCTTCTCTTTTTAAAACATAAATATAATCGTTTGGAACAGGAATACCTAAGACAGGGAAGGGACTAATGAGAGTATATAAAGTGCCTGTCAAGATAAAAATAAAAACCCGCTGAAGAACAAAGATCTATTAAACCTGATTAACTGTCTTGTTAGCATAAGACAATGCAAACTGTGCAAATTCCTGGCTCTAGGATTTTAATCTTTCAATGAGAAGTCACAGTAACAGCACCAGAAGCTCTTTGAAGGCCTTTAAGAACAAGTATTATTCTCTCTTCCATACCTCTTTCTAGGCCCCATTAGTGCTAAAATTATAAAGGTAAATCCATTTTGGCCTACAACCTGATGCATTTTGTATTTACTAAGTGGACTGGAGTTATCTGAAAACTCCAGGAGGCGTCCCACCTGGCTGGGGGACGCGAGGGGAAGGAGCGGGGAGCAGAGGGGTGACGTTCTGAAGCACCGGCCATTCTGCACTAGGTACGGGGTACGGGGAACACGTACGACTTGAAACCACCACAGGAGAACCCCTGACATTAATTATATTCAAAGGCAAGCATCCCAGTGGTCTTCCTGTTTCACTGAGAGAGTGGGCTCTTGAGACCTGGGGCTTCACTTTGGTGACAAATGCAGCTGGGGGAGGGGTACAAACAGGACAGGACTGTAACAAAACATAACATAGCAACACCTTTAGTGAGTCTGAAAAGAGATGGAAAATGCCCCATTTTCAGTGAAGCAAGGGGAAAAAACAAAACA